AACTAAGGATCAATATGCCTGAGGGGAAAAAATGATTAGGAGCTATGACTCAAGCAGGAAGCTTTTGGCCTGAAGCTGTGGTAAGTTTTACCTTGAAAGTCATCCATATAAATTAAAAAAAAAAAAAATGACATGCAGCCTTATTATGCCTCATACACAACAGTAACTGGAGGGAAGCAGTCCTCCAGGTACAGAGAGAATAATAAATGATCTCTCATACTGTTTATGAAAGGAGCAGAAAAAGCCACATCTTATTCCATGTACATTTTTAATAACATGAGGCTTTTTGCCAACACTCTGATAATGTCACATATGTCATCTATTGAAAACATGGAAGCTCAAGTTTCAGCTCCTAGAAGATATTGACACATTTCTGTCTACAGCAACATCCTCACGTTATCATCAAAATTTCTCACTGAAGAGGAAAAATAAAGGGATTAACTAACAAGAAGAGAGCAGAGATGCAGCAGTGCCCAGGGAAGAGAACAGATTTTATTTCCTTTATGTGGCAGGGGCCATGCATAACAGAGGCCAATAATACATGGGCTGTGGAACACAGCACAAACACTTAGTGGGGAGTCAGAGTCTGCACCAGACCAACCCTGAATAGGACAATAAAGAATGTACGACCTGTGCTCCACTGTGCCTAACCTAAATACCTGCTCCATCAGAAGGAACCCAGTTTGCAACACCCCTCTAGTTTAGTCAGGCATGGGTTAGCTCAGTGGCTTGAAGCAAAGCAGAACCACTGCCTGTTGTGCTGCCAGAGCAGTGCCAGGCTCTGCACTGATGTATGGTCAGCAGCTCCACACAGTGCACAAGAAGCTGAAGCTGACTTTGATCAAAGCTGGCCTGAAGTAAGCAAGTACACTGTGTGTCTTATTTGGATACTTTTTTTTCCCTTAATAGATCCAAATTCTGCTTCTCATATAGAAAAACAGAAATTGTACCTGACAGCATTCACGCCAAATCAGTTATTTTAGTTCATAAATTTAATTAACTTTTGATTACTCTAACACATTTCAATATCTGTTTAGTAATTGTATGCAGGACTAAACAAAACACTAATCTATTTTTAATAGTGTATTCGATTTTTGCTGCATTTTTTAAACACAGATAAAATCAACTGCTCAAATCACAGAATTTTACTTCCACAACAGGAATACCAGCTTTCCCTGTAAACAATTCTGACCTTTGTGGGAACATTAGGTTAGCTTGGCTGGGAGAGCTAAAGAGGTGTACCAACTCTGATGCCACAGAACTGGGGCTGAAGAAGCTTCCTCAGAGTTATGTTGCAAACCAGAAAAATAAAAATCACATTATCATCTCTTCCTCTCAATCATCTTACCCCAGAAGTCTGCAATGGTTATCTTGAATGCTAAACAGATCTGGAGGTCATTTTGGAAGGCAAAGTGAGGGACAGTCTTCACTCTATGTCTTCTCTGGAAGAGCTGTTTCTGGTAGCTGTATACAGGCATTGTGCAATACTTGTGGTCTCTGAGTGACAGGACTGCTATTCCATCTTATTTCTGCTGCCTAACTTGTACTAGGGAAACTCTTTATGCCCTCTTTGCTTTCCTTATTTAAATACCTCCTAGGAAGGAGGATGGTGGTTGGGAGGCAGACGTTTTTCTGACCTTAATGTCTGGACAGTGCTTTGAGTAGAAGAATTCAGTACTAAACAGTCATCATGTGTCTTAGACTGTAAAATGATTCTAACAACACCAGCTAATCCTCTCTGCAGCTACATCACTGTTGAGCAATATCTTGTCTCTTTCAGCTAATTGGCATTTCAGCTAACAATTCTGAGGATTTAGAAAACTTAATTGGGTCTTGAACTAGACTGAGAAACACGCTACAAAAAATAATCACCTATAAGAGCCACAGAACCTATTCTTGCTAACTGTGATGAGGCAAGTAGCTCAAAAAGAGAAGCAAAATAACTTAACTGGGAGAAAAAGAGAAGAAAAATGGATCATCATTCAAACGAAAGTGAAAGACTTGCCTCAGTTCAAGATGTAAGATCATAAATATCACTTCAAAAACAAATCACACTAACATTCTGAGCTGTCTTGTGGTAGCTTAAACATCTTGGACTAAAGATATGCATTTTTTTTTAATTTCTTTGAGGGATTGACCTGTTGTTTCAGTATTGGTGTTTCAGACACCATAGACAAAGGAATAACATCCCAGATACATCTTGTTCTTTCAAAGGTCCAGTCAACTACTGCCCCTGCCAAATGGTACGCAACCCCAGACTTAATCCTAACAACAAAAAAACATCACTAGGGAAAAATTCAATCACTTGTGATCGTTTTGGTACTTAAAGACCTCTAGCATTTCATCCTCATAAAACAGGAGAAAGCCAAGTCCCTGCATAGGTAGAGCTCCCAGCATCCAACCAACTCTTGACAAAAGTATTCATTCCAAATATGCATAGAATCATAGAATATGCTGAGTTGGAAGGGACCCATCAGGATCATCGAGTCCAACACCCGGCCCTGTGCAGGACACCCCAAGAATCACACCATATGCCTAAGAGTGTTCTCTAAACCCTTCTTGAACTCAGACACATGACCATTCACACAAAGGGTAAGAAAAAACACACGGCCACTGAAATTTGCAAGACTGCAATCTGCGCCTCTGAAAGAGAACTGATGTAAAAATAACCACAAATATCTTCTGGTACCATTTCCAAAATACCTGCTTTCTGCTCCAGTGACAACAAGCAGAGAGGATACAGGAAATATTCTAAGTCAAATCCAAAACATGTAGCAAAATGTCTTTATATAGTAACTGACAAAAATATCAATATATTTTATGCATGGATATACTCTTTAGATGCCAAGAGGTGTTTTTCTATACAAAACCCACAATCAAATTCACACCTAAATTTAACCAACAAATTTACTATCATTCTTGGGCGTACAAAGAGAGACCCTTAATCTAATGATAGACTCTTAAGATTAAAAAATTTCAAGATGTGGCGAATTAATTTGGCTTCCCAAGGAAAATATTACATAATTCCACCAAGAATCCATGAATAAATGATGATGTCAAACAATTTTTTCTATGTACTGTTTCACAGGCATTTGTGTTGAAACTTGCACATGAATAAATGTTTGCCATCACATCCTGGTGTAAATAATGCCCCTGCACCAAAAAAACAATCAATATCCTTATATATTAATATTCCTTTATAATCTGATTACATAATTTGCTCAGACTGTAGTAAAATCCATTTTACTTAACAATCCATTTATATTGCAAATATATATGGAAAACCTCTCTCATTTTAAATGGATTTCTACCTCATTAAACTCTTCTTAATGAGACTGGAGATACAGCTTTCAAGTAAATGAACAGAAGGTATTTTAAATAAAATTAGTTTAGTTTAAATAAAAACAGCTCATACTTTACAATACCCTACAGCTAGCAAAAATGAGCTACTTTATACACTAACCACATAGTGCAATTTCGTGCTCTTCCATGAAAGTTTGCTTTGGGAAGAGCAACCTCACTGAACACTCATTAAAGAATCTTATTTTAAAATGACAGACAGAAGACGAATATATCCCTCTGTGTGATATTGACTATTCACAAGTGCATATTGACCCTTGCTCTGCAATAGTAATCTTTGGTAATCTTACTCTATGATTGAGGCCAGGTAGTAAGATTCAGCTTCTTACTCACACTGCTACATATTAAATATTTTTCTTCCTTTTTTTTAAACATAATTGTAAAAATAAAAACTTGTCTTAAAATTAAGAGAGATGCTGAATTCTTCATCATTCTATCCTGATTTCAATGAAGCCAGTATTAGTCAAAACTTGTCGCTGTCAAAATTCACAGATGGGAGGAAGACACAACTCTTTCAGTTTTGGAGCTGTTCAAGGAGTATCAGGCTATGTAGCCCAAGATCTGGAAGATAATAAAAGAAGCAGTTACAATACTTTAACTTTTCCCACTAGCAGTGGAATCTCATTTCAAAACTATGCACTTTTTTCCCCAGATGATTTTAATCACTAGCTATCAAGATCCCTTTTAACTGCATTTATGTTCCCTCTGCCTCAGTGCAGTATCATTGAAGATAAATGATCCAACTTGATAGATTCTTCTCAGTCACCTGAAACACAAACATTGTTTTTAATGAAGTAACAAACAATATTCACCTTTTTTTTCATGCATAAACTATACAGTGTATTTCACTTATCACAAGCATGTAACATTTCCCCACCAGAAGACAAGCAGATCTGTCATTTCTCATCAAAACAAGAAACCACTTCCTGGTAGCTGACGGTCATAGTAAGTTCAGCTGTAGCAATACTTTGATTCGTTCTGTTCCAAAGGCTGTATCCCTGCTGCCAGCCCTCTCCACAGACGTCACCGTCAGATCAGAAGCCCCCATTTTACCCCCTGCAGAAGCCCGCCCGCCCCCTTTCTGTGGCCACACTCCCTCTCCAGCCCCGCCGGCACCGCCGGGAGCGCCTCTCTTGCGGTGCCGGGAGGGCGGGACCCGGGGCCGCCCCCGCCCCCAGCGCTGCGGGCCCGCCATGGCGGCGGCGCGGCCGGCGCGGGCCCGGGCGCTGCTGCAGCAGAGCGTGTCCGCCCGGCTGCAGGTGCGGCCGCCCGAGCGCGGCGCCGAGGCCCAGTGGGTGGAGGTAACGTGGGCTGTGGGCCGCCCCCTCGGCATCGCCCCTTCTCCGCTCGGCTCGGGGCCGCTCGGGGCCGTTCCGGGCCGGGCACCGGGAGAACGGTCCATCCCCTGGGCGCGTGCGCCGCCGGGAAGCGAGGGTGGGCGTTTACAGAGATTTGAGGAAAATCCCCCCTCTTCCTTTTCCGGGCTCAGCTTCCTTTCAGACACCTTTCTTACCCTGTCCCTGGTTTTCGCTCTCGAGCCCTTTCCTCACCCTCTCGTTATCACCCAAGGTTACGCTCAGCCCCTTCAGCGGAGGGACTGAGCAGCGCAGCAGGCTGAGTCCGGTGCACGGCCGTTTGGCCCTGCTGCTCCTTCCCTTTCCCTGTGCTCCAGCAGAGGTTTTCCGCAGGCTGTAGTCCCTTCGGGAGCATGGCTGCTCAACCACACAACACCTCCTTCTCCTCTGGCCGTGTTGTTCCTTCTTTTCTTGGATACACTTTCACAGAGGCACCAGAACCTTGGCTGGTGGGCTCAGCTGCCGGCTTTGTTTATTGTGTGATAGTGTGCACTTGGAGAGGAAAGGGCAATGGGGCTATGGTAGCAGTAGTTCTGATGTTGGGGTTTTTTTAACAGACCACTAACTAAAAATGAAACTTAGGGTGTAGACAACTACACAGGTTGAGGGAAATGTATTTTCCTCATATTCCTCCCATGGTCCTGCTGGGAGAGGTAGGTAGCTCTGCAGACTCTTTGGGCTAAGTGCTGTGCATACAGCCCGGGGCTCTTTACCAAAGCATGAAGGCTGCCCTGTCCTGCTGTAGGTGTCACTGATTATGGGTTACCTACAGTAGAATAACTCATCTACACTGGTGTCAACTATTTAGCCCTTGGGTTGGTCAACTATTTAGCCCTTTACACATGTAGCATGTGTAAAGGGTTAATGAGTTCATTCAACAAATCTGAAAAGAGTTCACTGTTTATCTTTCACCTTATCCTTAAAAATTCTCTCTCCTTGTTCAGAAGGGGCAGATGGATCCATAAGACCTGCAGCATGGTCTGGGAAACCAGAATGTTTGGCTGAAGTGCATCTGTGTGTATTGCAGCATAAATTACTATAGGAAAAATAAGCTATTTCTAGCTTGCTAATCTCAGAAGTAGTTGTACATCTAGTAATTAACAGCAGAACTGTAATTTTGCTAGCTATCTTTTAAACTGTCTGAAAAGAGTTTGAAGTTGTTATAGTTGAGAGATATGAGTAACTGTTACAAGGGGGTTTGCGGTTTACATCTCTTATTTGAAGTTTTTAACAGATTCAGCAAAAATCTCTGGGAAAGTAATAGAAAGCACTAAAGGAATCTGCAAGAGATTGGGGTGATCTCAGCAGCAGCAGATTATTTTTTGGACATGAACCTTACTCATATTTGTCATGGGTACTTAGGAGTCTTTCTTGGCTACCTCGGGCTTTTTAAGAGAAGTCACTATGCAGGAAAAACAACTGGGAAGTGATACTTTCTTTAGTATGGCTACTGTAGAGGTCATTAGAAGGAAACTGCTGCTGATGTTTTGTGGTAGGGTAATGTTACTCCCTATATATGTATGTCAATGCAAAAATAAAAAATATAGGTCTCATCGACTACTATTTACATGAACCAGTGTGTTCCTGATGTTTTATAACAACTTAAAAGTAGGTCCTCACCTTGAGACATTTCTAGCATACTATAAATATTATGTGGGTGGCTTTGAATAGCTGCTGAGCTGTAGGAGACCCCTGTAGGTACTTTTGGAGATTCGGAGCAGATGTTCTTTATCTGCAAAAAGGTTGGGAGTGTACTCTATACTTACACGTGAATCACTGCCTTCATTGTGTTTTCATGATTGAGTTTTTTGGTCCTGTTGAGAATTACTGGGAATTGGATGTCTTGTTTATGGAGAAATGTTGGTTAGATAACCTCCATAAAAAGCTAATGTGTACAGCAAAATACTTAGGAAAAAAAGGAATTCTCCTTTTAAAGGTAGAGTGGAAATAAGGTGTGGTTTGGTGTATTTCACAACTCTGGGGGAAAAGAAATGTAAGATGAATATTCAGCTAAAATGAAAACTGCCTTTTCTTTATCGTCTTTCCCTTGATTTGTCTTCTGGTTAATATAGCAAAAAGAGGTGCAAAGTACCAGGCACAGACTTGTTCTGTGACCTGTGGCAGATGATGTAATCTCTCTTTACTGCAGCTGAATATGAGAAATATGAAGAAATCTTCCCACAGGGTAGCAAATCTAAACTTGAAGTGGAAATGTCAAAGAATAATTAATGCAAGTTTCACAAACTGGCTTTCTAAAGATTAAAAGTATCTCTGTTTTCATTATCCACTGCAATTTCCTGGGGAAAAAAAATTAAAAAAAGTAGAGTTGAGATAATATTTTACAGAATATATTTTGGTTTTCCTAATAATATCCTTAAAAATTCAGATGGATGTATTTAGTAAGGAGGATGAGGAACGAGTCAGTTATTTGTTTTTTTCCTGCAAAAGAGCTAAAAAGCAGCATTTTGGAGGCAGCATTACAACGGCTGGCTGTATGGCCTAAGGGCTGGGTACTTCAGCCTTTCATAATTCAGGTTGCCTGATCTGATGATTACTTAGGACAGTTGTATAATAAATGCCAGTGTTGCAAAGTGACTTGCTTTGTTGGTTTATTTATGTAGGCACTTTACTGATAACAGTAAATCCACATAGAGCACAACTTCCCTGTCCAGCTGCCTACGTGTCACTGTGTAAATTCTTGCAGTGGCTGTTTGCACATCAGTGTGTTGACTATATGACCATCTTATTTGTGTTATTTTACTTGGTTTTTTGTACTATGGAAAGCAGATAGATTACAGGGGACCTTCAGCAGTGGCAATGGTTTTGCTTTGATTCAAAAGGTTTACACGTTCCCATTTGTAAGGTAACACATACACAGGTATTCTTCCCAAGAATGCCAAGGCAGCGGAAGGATTAAAAAAAAAGGTTTATTTCAGATGCAAAGACTACTTCTTAACGATGCCACACACACTGGGCCCCAGGGTAAAAAAAGGCAATGCCCTACCTTCTCCAAGGCTTTTTCTATCTTCTCTCTCTTCTCCCCACCCTACCTCTGGCCCTAGGACGCCTTGTACATGTGTGCAAACATGTTATCTCTCTGCATACCAGAGAGAGAGAGAGCTTGCTCACAGCTTCTCCCTGCAACTTTCTCTGAAATGCTGAAGGAAGGAAAAAAAAAAATCTAACCTGTTTGAGAAGGCATTCTGCAGTCTTCCTAAGTGAAACAAGTTCTGGCTTTCCATTAAAAATTCTTGCACAGTTGCACCGATCCCTACACCATTCCTTACACTCATGATGAGCAAAAGTCTCAGGACACCTGAAACACTGATATAAGATCACTGATATACGTTATTATTAGGTTTGCTCTTGTAATGTCATTCAATTTTACATCTTCTATTGAATTAAGAAACAGAGTAAGAACAAAGTAACACCTAACAAGAGGTTAAAACATGGCTGCACATGTGTTGAAAATAGTGTTCAACCACAGTTTTCAGTCATAGTTGAAACCGTAAGTTTCAGCTTACAAATACTTGAATGGTTTTTAACTATATCATGGTTGAGAAACGGTCTAGAAGACCATAAACATGCAATACAAATAGAAACATCCTCTGGAACCTTTAACTTGTCTCTGAATTAATTGTCTTTTCGTTTAACCTCCTGTATCTCTAATTTTCCTCAATATGCATGTTTCATCTTGTGATAAATTGGATATTCAAAACCAGGCATGAAATAATGATAGAAGCTGGGAAAATGATGAATGTTGTTACTTAATCTTTAGCTGTCAGGCCATAGGACTTGGAGGCGTCACTTTATTTTCTCTTTTGTCTCTTTAAATGAGACGTTTGCAGAATATTGTTACTTCTGTAAGTGAGACTGTGCAAAAAAAAGACTATCACAAGTTCCAGAAATAAAATTATTCTCTGGGATGTGTGCTATATCATGGCATCGCTTATTTCTAATGCCATGGCCAGAAGTGTACAATGTAAATGCATTTGGCCTATTTCATCACAAACAGATTTATTAGTAGGTATGTGTGCATTGTTATTATCTATTAATATCCTCGCCCTAGTCTGTTTCGGGAGTTAATATTTAGCTAAACATGTAAGGATGTGTAATGTTTGGCAGTCTGCATTTCTCTCTTTGAGCAGATGGTTTGAAACGTCATTTGAGGTTCAGGCCATCAAATTTGTTACAGTGTTTGTGAAATGTGGCAGTCATTTGGGAACACGTATAATATTCTCTAGTGGTCAAAATGAGTTTTGAAAGGAGCCATTTAAAGCGTTTGAAAGTTTCTTAGCATGTGACATTTTGACTACAAAGAGCATTCTCTTTTTTCAGAAGTTAGTCACTAAAAACATAGTTGAGAAAGCATAGCTTTTCTTAGTCATTGCTGTGAGCATTTTGTTTAATCTCTGCAATAACAAAGGGATAAAATCTTATGTGTATAGCTAAGTTTTCTTAACCAAAAACCTTTATCTTTTAGAGAAAAGGGGAAAGAAAAACAAATAAAAGAGAGGAAAAATTAAATAACGGTATTTTTTAGAAACTCTTCACATTTCCTATCTTTTTGCTTTGATAATGTTGATTAGTGACTCCTTCCTGTCCCAATCTATTTAACATCTCTTCAGTGGTATTTAGTAAGCTGACATCTATCTTTCTTCTAACAAAAATATTAAGATGCTTATTCTTGACAAAGCAGTGGGGAGGTTTTGTTATATACTGTATGTCTGTGGATATTGTATGCCTTTCGGGGGGTTTTCCTGAAGAAGTTAAACCATTCAGGTGTACTTGTGCATGAGACAGTTAAACTATTCAGATGTACTTCTGCATTGACTGCAGAGCCTATCAGTTTGTCTTAATAAAGCACAGGTTATTGCACATGCATACCTTGAGAACTAACCAAGAGAACAGAAAAGCCACACAAGAATTTTCCTGTGCTAATTCTTCCCTCACCTACATAGTTCTTACAAGTAGTCTCTCTGAATGCTAAGGAAGTGGCATATCCTTTACTCTGGGTTTATCAATCAGGGGAAGGGTTCTCTTTCACCAGTAAGATATTACACAAGCTGATAAATAATATTTTGGACAACTTAATAATATTCTGAACAACTTCACAGATGTTGGTCATCGTATTTAAATCGTTAATTATCAGACTGTGTGGTTTTTTTCAGAATTATGTTGTGCTAGATTACTTTTAACACCAGAATAAAATTTAGTTCGCTGACAAGTCCTGTGGTGTTTGTTATGCTTCATAATTGGAAATAAACTTGAAAATTATTTTAGCCCTATGTTTGATAGCAAAAAAAAAGCCAAAATTATTTCCTATGCTGGATTTAAGTACAAAAATTCGTCTTGTCACCTTGTCTGTGTTAATACTTTACATTGTACATTTCAACTAAATTCGGCTTCACATGGACCTAATAAATTGGCTTACTTGTATGTAGAAGCATTGTGCAGATAATCAGCATATACCTTATAAGCTTCCAGAGCATGTAAACTTAATGTCTGAAGCTTTACAAAATAACTAAAATTATTCTCATAACCTTTTTTTGTTGTGTTGTTTTTTGATTTTTGATACCAGTTTTTGTAAATATGCGTTGTGGACAATGAGAAATATTGACATAGGTTTCTGTAATCTTTTATAGATCCAAAGAGGGCTTGTTATCTACATATGCTTCTTCAAAGATGCTGATGAGGATCTCATTCCAAAAATTGGTATGATATAACCCTTCTAAATTCTTGTATTTGAAAAAGAAGAAAAGCTGTAGAGGCAGAGAAGGCAGCAACTATTTGGACAAGTAGAAGTCAAGAAACCATGAGATGGCATCATTCTAAATCAATCACCTGCCTAAAAGAACAGTTTGGTCTGTCTTGTTTCTTTTGACAGTTGTCCATGCCTCTCACTCTGTCCATCTGCTCAGGACTAACTTAGAAAATCAATTCCCATGATGATAACCTTCTAGGAAACAGAGAAAATGCTGTACCTGCTATTTAACATATTACTTGTATCAGGCAAAAGGTTCAGTCCAGGACAGAACTGAATTTCAAATAGTTCATGGCTTGATTTGCTAAGTATTTTGACACTGATCACACTGTATGTGCAGGATATTTAAGATTACAGCCAGTAGAGGGAGCTGAGCGGATGACTAGACAGTGTCCTTCCCATCTCCTTTCAGTAGTACTATATACACTAGGAGTATTTTTAGAGCAGTTTTCTGGTTCAAAAGTGATAACAGCAATATCTGCAGTTCTTGCCCTCTTTTCCACATGCACCTTAACATTTACATAAAAGCAGAGAAGATGCTGTGGATCAGGTCAAATGGTAGTGATTTCTGTCTTCACCCACTGCTGTTTTGGCTTGAATTTTTTGTTTGTTTTTGGTTTGTTGTTGGGGTTTTTTCCCACTTTTATGTCATTTCTTCTCCCTCCTTTCCTCCATCAGTAGCACTGGATCACCTGGAAAAATATGTGATGCCATGTATTCCAGATAAAAATACCCCTTTTCTTTTCTGTGGCTGGCTGATATTAGTGATTTGGCAAAAGATTGTGTAATGATAGTCTATTCCAGGCTAATGGCCGGGCCCAGCAGTGCACAAGTACAGGTGCTATTGAAAATGCTGAGAGGAGCTGCTGTGGGGTTCTCCTTGGTCTTGGAGGGCACAGTCTTTCTGAGATGCTAAATAAAGTTGAAATATTTGGGTATATTTAAATATATGTGAAAATTTATTTTGTGCTTGTGAGAGTTTCATGAGAATGTTACTTGAGAATAATTACATTTCCAGCCGTGGGGCAGCTGAAACAGGCCAGAAAAAGAAAATTGTGTTTCTTATGAGGAGATTCATGTATGACTATCCTCCTCGAGTGCCTGGTTTACAGCATATTGTTCCTAAATATATTTTGAATCTGTTTAAATGCGTGGTTTTGGTTCCTGAATCACAACTCAGCTCTTTTTGCTTTGAACATTAAACATGGAGGCATAACTAGTATCCTCACAGCCTTTACAGAGTTTGAGGAAGTTTTGGGGTAATGATTTGATTTGTTATATAAACATGGAAAATCTAATGTTAGTAAATGTATTGATTTTATTTGCAAGTTTATATATTCTGGTTTATAAGGCAAATTGCATCTGACCTTCCTGCCCAGTTCCTTTCTCAAAAGACAAACTGACCCCTGCACATCTCCAAGTGGAATGCTGAAGGACTCTCACTCCATTTGAGACCGAACTGTGGAGCTGTGCCTTCAGCACAGATCATTGCTGGGTCCTGCTGCAAACTACTCCAACCAGTGTGAAAAGACAGTCAGGGCACAAAGCTCTCCAAAGTGCACTGAGGATGGTGTTGTCTCCTACAATGTGTAGTGTTGTGCACATGCTGCCTATTTGAGTATCAGAAAATTTAGTAGGGCCATTATGTGCACCCTTCTCTGGGTTCTTTTTGGGGTGTCAAACTAGAATCTACTTGAGGATTTTAGATAGCAAATCACTTCCCCCAAAAATAAAACTTTAGACATCTGATGTTAATATACATATCCTTAACATTCCTCACAATACTCGGACATATTAGTTGGTTAATAGTATTTATTGACTGTCCATATTTCATTTAATTAATAAACAGTTTCTTTTACTTGAGTAGTTTGTCACACATCAAAATACTTTTTGAATCTTGTTTATGATGTCCTGTTTAACTTACTTCAGTTATACTAACTCTTATTTTATTTTTATTTGCAGTCAATATGCTGTTGAATGTTAAATTAAGTGAAAATGAAAACGGCGAGTTCGTTTCTGTTCTTGATTTACCAGGCGATGTACTTATCATACCTCAAGCTACCCTAGGCGGTAAACCAAAGGGAAGAAAGATGCAGTACCATGCAAACATTGAAAAAGAAAAAGGGTTGGAACTTTATTCTCAGTTCGTGACTTTGTGTGAGAAAGAACTGGCTGCCAATTCCAAATGCGTGGAAGCAGGTGTTCATGTCAAGCATGGCACATACGGAAACAGGCAGGTGTTAAAACTGGATACAAATGGACCTTACACTCATCTGATTGAATTTTGAAAAAATAAATTGTATCTCAGATACAGTACTGGTGTCTTTTTTTCTCCCTTCCTAAGAATTAATGTGCTTGAATGCTTTGGGAGATAGATACAGTGTAAAAAGGTACTGGTGTTGCCAATGCCATTGAATACAAGGATGCCTGAGACTGCTTTGCTATAATGAGTATCCATTTTATGCTCATATGCATCTGAAGTGTGCTCAAAATAATTGTTAATATTGATCCAATAATTTGAAAGGTTTATTAACAAAAATGGGATAATGCATTTGTTTCTTACTAAAAAATAATGAAGTGTTTCATGTATAGCTTGAGTAAGTGGTTTATAGATTAGAAAAAAGAATACTGTACATGTACTTATGTTTCCAGATTTCCTGAGTCAGTTTTTGCCTTTCTGTTTTCTAACTATAAAATGGCAATGCTTTCTAACTAGCCAATACATAGAAAACACAAAATCACTGAATTTTTAGCCTTTTAGAGAGTAGGTACTGAATAAGAAAGTCCATCCTCCTCATCGAGAGTGTGTAGGGCTGGAAGACTTAAGGTAGTACTGGGCTGCTCATGGGCTATGTAGGGAAGAATAAGTGAGGCACATCAAGAAACCAGCAGTACCACTGAATTGCTTTCTTGAAGTTTGCGTTCTGAAATCTCTGATGTGTTTTGATAGGCTGCTTGCTATAGCTTGGTCTGTGTCCTTGTTACTGCGGTCTTGCTGTCTACTCAATTCTTTCATAACAGAGCCTCGGGAAAAGAACAGAAACATTCAAATGAAAACAAAAGTAAAGATGGTACATTGTATGCAGCCATCTCATTGTTCCCACTGCCCCTATTGCTTCCTTCAGGCTTTTTTTCTATTGAATCTGCCAGGCAGAGACTAGTTTTCATTTTATAGACAGTGTTGGTACATTTGGGGCCCCATTCCCAGCTGACTCCCTATGCAGTACTGTTATAAACATTATTAACAGATGGGGTTAAGAAGCTGTAATGGGAAATTCTCTCTTGTAAGGCAGTGAGAACAGAACAGCTGTATTAAAATGTGGCAAATTCAAAACTGATTCAAATATGCTTATCCTGTGAGTCAAGTTTCTCTTTTACTGCAGCATTATGGCTTAGAAGGATTCAAAGTGAAATTAGACATTTATATGGTTTGCAATAATTATCCAAAATTGCCATTTAATTAACAAATTATTCTGGAAAAGACCTAAAACCTCATGGATGATGAGGTTACCAGCTTGTACAATCCTAACTTGTAGGTCAGTAGTTACAAAATTCTGTCCTTATCTTTATTTTTGTAAAAAAACATTACTGAATGTGTAATCCGCAGACTCAAAGTTATGTCATTAGAATGACATTTTTTTTTAACAGATACAAAGCTTGTAGTTTTGATAAGAGAGTAATGAGATTTTTTTCAGATTACATAATATATGATTAATAATTACAAAATACATAAGGATGCTGAATTCCTGGCAACTGACACTCTCAGAGTTGAAAGCAACCATTTACACAAATGGCCTGGAAATATTAGCTATTAGGTCCCAAATGATATGTTTATTCATTAATAATTAACAGTTGTGATAGACACAATATGAGTTATGTTCTCAGTTCCTACTAGCAACATTTAACTAAGATTGTCTTGATATGAATAACTAATAGAAATTCATTTTAATCTGTGTGTGTGGTAAAACATTTTTATTCCTCTTTCTTCTGGAGGTCAAATCCTAAAAAGTGCTGACTTTACGGGACTTTCACAGACTTTACAGGAATTGTGGGTATTTAATATATCTCAAGAATTGATCCTTTGAGGTATAATACGAAGTCTGCAGTTTTAAATTTTTTTTCTGTCTCCAGAAAGATCTTTGGCAGCCTGGCAATTCATTCTCTATATTTCAAGAACTCTGTGAGTTCTAAGAGGGATAGGCTTGAAAATGTTTAGTGAAAAACAGACTTAAAACAAAACTCCATCTCATATAAAGCACATAAAATTGAATATATATTTTGGTTGATCTTAGGACCAGACAGAACTCTATAATTTCTGTTACAAGGTGGATATTTTTGTATTATCTGCCCATTTCTGATTTACTTTTGTAACCATCTTGGAATACTGATTTCTGCCGTCTTCTGCTCCAACGATTGGCAGCTCGTTGAATATTGTGCCCTTTGTACTGCTTTATTTATATCTACTATTGATTCACAATCCATTTTCTGAAAGAAGCCATTTCTGAATAACATACTGGACTGTACTGATGAAAAAATCAATTAAAATTACTTTTTCAAAGCCAAATGTTCATTTCTTTCTGCCGTGAATATATGCTTTAAACAGATGATCTGACACAGCTTTAAATAGTTTCTATTCTGGGACTAGACAACCTCAAATAATTATCCTGTTCTATACTTATAGACCATCTATTGGAAGATGCTTAATATTCCCCACTTCCTTGAAATAACTTATAAAGTCAGGAGTCATCCTTATGCTATTATGCCTTCAATTCAACTGTCATACGGTAATTCCAGTATCGAGTTTTTGCAACCATGTTTGCAGCATACACACCCAGTGTGTCTAAACTGAATGTGTGTGGACTATGAACTGGGCTCATAAAAATTTACTAATGCTTTCAGGTGCAATAGCTTGTTTTTTAGTCAGCAGTATTCCTGCTTCCTTCCCATGCCCTTTCTGGAAATTTTTACCTTTGCTATTACATACAGCATGCAACATAAGAATTTACAACATACAAATGTTAATCCAGAATTGGAAGTTAATAAACAGTGTGTAGACCAGTAATACTAATAACACTGCTGCAACTGTATTGCTATTGCTAGTAACAGTCAGTAGGCTTTATCACAAGTGTTACAAGACCTCAGGATGGAGGCTTATCACACATGCTTTATCTGAACTTTCCTTAGTCTTCTCAGAGCTTTGCTTTTACTTGATTTAGCTGTAACAACAATTTTTCTAAGGGCAGGGGACTGTGGCTGATTTGTTTTACTTTTGCGTTGTATGCTGAAACAGCAGTTGTTATATAGATATTAATACTAAGTAGTTATTCTGTGTAGAATGATATTTTTATGACTCTAACATAATGTTACAGTGTACAAAACAGCACCAGCCTTGAGAAGTGAAGACACTGATGGCAGTGTAAAGTAGAGGCAGGGGATGGTAAGAGATGGGGCACAGACTGTCACTGGGGTCCCCAAGGCTATAAACTTTCCAATGGTCAGTTAAAGAAATGCAAACCTGGAGCTGGGCAAGACTAGTCTTAGGGGTAAAAAAGAGAAGAAAGAATGTGTATTTAAGATGTAAAAAAAGCAAAATACACGGCTGCGGGCCAGTAAAGAAAAAGCAAGGTGTAAAACTTCGTTAGAAAACATGCAAAACAGCCCCAGCTTCTTTTTTCCAAAAGAAGTAAAAGGAGAGGAAGAAGAACAAACCATAACACCAACATCATACTTCTGAAGGCATAGGACTCCAGATGCTGATAATCCACTGTGCTGCCTCTACCAGATGGAAGCCACATGAGATGAAAGGGTAAGCATGACACCAGGAAAAGGGGTAGGTATAGGTACTAGGTGTGCATGCATAACGATTTTGAGTGTAGTATCATTATTGAGACTTTTTATACAGTTTTTTTTATTTCCTTTCTTTTTCTACAATAATTAGATTTGGACTGAAAATAATTCTTTGATTAAATTACTAAGGTTGCAATTATAATAGATTTGGTGTGACTTTATACATAGGGTGGATTTCTTGTTGCCCATAGCAAGATTTTGCACATAAGTTTCTGCAGAGAATTGCTTCCCCATGTTGAAATGGCAACCACTTGATGGCCTGCTGGATGTTAGCCAGCCTTTGTGGTTCTTTTCAACAGGTCCTTTAATGCAGCTGTGATGTCTGATCTCATTTACCACAAAAGCTGCACAAAAGTTTCATTCTTCATTGTGACTCAGTGCAACCACTGCTCTTTAGCCCCTCTTTGAGAACAAAATCAGTTCCCTTTGGATTTATAAGTATGATCTGGTGAACCTCAGTCTCACCTCTGATATAAAAACAGCTTCTTTGGCGAAGGAGGTATGAATCTTTTAAGCTCCATTATTTTTTGCTTTTATTTTCTATTAGTCTCTGCTATATGGACTCCTTCAAACACATAATGTTTATCTTCTTAAGCTGGAGTAGCAGTATGCCATAGAGAACTAGAGTGGTCTCCAGGCATTACCTGAGGTCTGTCACCAACCTCTGTTGTGACTGGCCTCATTTCTTAACTTCTTAGCATCTCAATTCTCATCTAATAAATGGGTATTTTATTTTTTTTTTCAATGTGTTGATCCTTAAGACTATACGTTGAGCAAAACAAGGACCATCACTCAGTTTAGTGTATTCACAGCACAGTGGGACAGTACTGGGATGTCTGTAAGATCCACCAGTTGCTTTATACTAGAACTCAGGGTGACAATTGCTGGACAAGAACAGAAAGTAGAGCTTCCTCCTTAATATTTTTCTTGGGAAAACAGCATCTAAAATTTGAGACTCTCCCTCAAGAATTTAGTGAATTTAGTATTTCCTATTTATTCCTTCTTGTTTTTTTGAAGCTCTTTGAAAGCAACACAAAATTTAGGAATCCCTACAAGATTCTTTTACCAGAAGTGCTGTGCAAATACAGTTGAAAAGTAAATGGTATATGTGGTCAAGAGAAAGAAACAGCAGTTAGAGTAGCCCAAATGTGTATGTGTTGCACATTTTCTATTTAAACCAATGCTGGCTGCTAGTTCAATTACTGCCAGTGTGCAGCTTTGGGTAAAGCAATTTTCTGCTCCACTTTTTCCATCTGTGAGACAAAGAAAGAGTGAAAACAAGGGAAAAAGGTTTAAAACCACTAGTTTTTTTCTCTTCACTAAAAGCAAAAAATCACCTCTGATCCTCCTTTTTTCGTCAGAAGGCAGTATGCTTTCACCTCTCTTCACCTTTGTTGGAGCTACAGGAATTTGCCTTTCACTACCTCCTGCTTAAGCCTCTGCCTCACAAATGTGACTTGAGCTAATGTCCACAGAGCACTTTGACTGCCTCAATGAATGGTGTGGTATCAGTGTAAATAACAGTTCATAGTATTTCTAAAATGGGTGATCCAGACAGCATGGAAAAGCAAATAAATGGCATTCCTGTTGTACTGTTCTTGTTCATATGTATTTATGTTTCTTATTGCTCTGAATTTAAGATTGCTTTCTATTCACTTTAATTGTATTTACCGGTGTGCCACAATAGATGCCCTACTGCATCAGTATGTATTAAAAATGTGCAAGTAAGAAGCTTAAGGCTATTTAGATATGCTCCATTAGGAGAGATTGGCAATAAAGGTTTTGTATTAGCAGTGAAAGCAAAAGGGTTTGGGGAGGCTTTAGTATTTAGCTGGCAATTCATCCCTAAGATCTAACTTTCTTATTTCCCACTGCCATTTTGGTAGCTGTATCTAATATTATCTAGGCCTGCATAATACTTTTATTTACATTTTAGGATTAGAAATAACAGCAGGACTGTGTAATTGCTTGGCAGGAATTCAGGCCTTGCATTTTGTAATAGTACAAAAAGCAACTGTTGGGAATAAAAAGAAGTATAGCAGTATTGTAGCATTAAATAAAACTATATATTACTTTTGATATTCAGTGTGTAAAAAAAGAAAGATTTGTACTTAAGACATTGCAAAAGCTAGGACAGGCCAAAATGTATTGGATTCTACATGCCCCCAGAAGGGAGCTACTGCAGGGAACTGAACGTTTCACTTTTGGGATTAGAAACACATAGTTACTGTCTCAACTGAGGGAGCAGGCGTGGACAGATTTGGATGCCAAGGGCTGCAGCAGTTCTAGAACTGAGCATGTTATAATGTTTAGAGGCAGATTAATAACCTTAAATTAAAACCAAATGTAAATTGCCTGTAGCTGATGGTGTAACTGTTCACACATTCAGAACTTGTCTCACTCTGTACTTTAAAACCAGTATGTTGACTGTATAACAGAATTGCAAAGAGAAAGTAAAACTAAATAGTTAATCTTATAATTAATCTAAAGACATTCCTTCTTAATTATTTTAAAATATCATGGAATTTAGCTTTTTCTGCTGTGTAATTAGTTGGTGATGTTATATTTGCTTCAAATCAGGCCCCTAGTCCTGTGATTCTTAGTCATGCATGGACAGTCACACTAAATTCAAAGGAATACATTCTTTTTTTTCCTGTAGAGTCACTGAGGATTATAAAGCTGAAAGAAAGAAAACATTTAGCTCAGAGGCGTATGCAACTGCATAGATATTCTACTAGGTCTGGAATTTGTACGGCAGAACTGATTCATTCTCAGTCTCCCCACTTCAGCAATATAGACTAATGAGAAGACTAATCAGAAGACTAATCAGTAGGTTTGTGCATTTCAATTATTTGCCAGTTGCTTATTCTATTAAGTAATTTGCTATTGAAGCACAGTCAGGACTAATGGGGAAAGGGAAAATTGAATTAATACATGGCGAATACATTTAACTATCCTATTTTTTTCTGGTTTAGAACAAAGTACTGTAAACTTGCATGACAATAATTTTTTTTATTTCAGATGGAAAAGGGGAAAAATAAAAATGGCATACATAATTGCTGAAGTAGACACTAATTTGAATCAGTGCACGGTTAACATTCTGTTGAC